TAATATTTCTAGGATGACTTAGAGAAGAAATTACCTTTTACAGCTAGGTTCCCGGTTTACCAACGGCAGCGCTGTGCAGTAAGAATGTTCATATCAAGCAGTATAAGACCTATACCCTCTTCCCAGCCACCCTCGTGGGGGCTTGCTCCCTCTCCACCACCCTTGATCGTCATTGCCACGCTGATGAGCCTGTCTGTCTCCTCGCAGGAGAACCTGGGACCAACAGAAAATTGCTAAAGTGACGGCCACAGGGTGGCAGGAATTTTTGCAGTCCACGGTCTTGCCTGAATTTTCCCTGCCATGTCCCTACTGTACAAAGGGAAAACCTGGGAAAGCCCGAGTCCCCGGGCCACTGTGATGGTCAGGTCCTGGGGGTGAGGCTGGGAAAGAGCTGGCCTTGGTCTTCCCTGCCAGGGGTCTCCTTCCATGGCCAGCTTTGCCATCTTTGCAGTTTATTAAGTTAGATGCCATTTCCCAGTGCCCAGGCTCTTAGAGGCAGCGAGTCAGGAGAATGAGGCAGGGGCTAGGTGTGAAGCCACAGCCGCTGCATGGGTGGTGACAGCTGTCGAGTGCACAAAGGCTCAGCTCCAGTCTACAGGGGCAGCCCTGGGGAACGTGGGCCCACAGATGCCACATCTTCTCATTTTGCAAGACAGTGCTGAAAATCTGGAACTTTAGGTGAAATTTCCCAGTTGTAAAAGGTTAGTTCAAAATGTTGTGAAATGTGTGTCAATGGCTGTGGGTGCTCACTTTCCAACCTCTGCTCTTCCATGCCCTGCTCTTCTGTGGAGAAAAGAGCATGAAACCTGTGGAGCATTTACACGTTTTAACAGGTAAACTGCAAGTGATGAACATATCCTAATGCTCCTTAAGACTTTCCAGATCCTTCCATTTGCCTACAAAATCTGGTTTCTGGAAGACACTTCCCTAGCAGAATCTGGATCATACGTAGCACTCCCCACAGCTGGTGCTGCTATGGTTTCTACAGCAAGAGGCCACACAGCACAGCGGGTATGCTCATGGATTCTGGGGGTGGACAGCACCCTTGTCAGCTGCTCCAGTGACCGGGGGTAACTTCTCTGTGCTTGGTCTTCTCATCTGTAACATGGAGCTACTAAGAGAAGCCCCCTTATGACGCTGTCAAGGATTAAATGAGTTGAGAGACAAGTACGTGGAACAGCACCTTGCACACGGCAAGCATTGCTTTCGTCTTTATCCAGGCCCTGTCAGCCTGCTGAAGGCCAACCTGGGAGGCCTCCAGCCAGGGGCCAGCAGCTCCTGAAGACACCAACCTCTTCCTTCTGGGGACGCACGACCATAGCCAGGCCAGACCTAGACCCACTCTTACCCACACTAGTGGGGAGAGGTACCCCTGGGATGGAGGGAGGGATGTCCTCACTCCTGGTCTACTGAGAACTTCCTCTTCCTCCCACCAGACGAAACACCAAGTCAGGAAGCTGGTGAATGACTACAGAAATGCAAAGCAGAAAACAGATAGTCAGTTCTCCAGATATCTAGTCCCATTTCTTCCCCAAAACGCGAGTGCCAACCCAGTATAATAAGGGCTTAGATACACTCTAAAAGGCCAAGACCTGCTTGTATCTCAGCGTAGGAAGGTTATCAAGAAGCCCGCTGCGAATCCATCTCTCCCTATCATACTCCATCTTTAAACTAGATTATCCATGAATACTTGCTGGGCACCCACTAGAATCAGGCTACTGTTCTTAACTGCTAGCAATTGTAAAGGAAATAATGGTATCTGGTTCTGCAGAAGCTTATCCATTCCCTGAGTTAACAAATATTTATTAAATTCTCACTTTGTGCCGGGTACTGAGCCAAGCACTAGGAACAGCAGTGAACACAATGGAGTATAAAGCTTGCCTTCTGGTGCATAATGTTGGGAGAGAGAGAATAAATAGCTAAGTAAATTAAATAGTGTCAATTGATAATAAGCTATAGAGAAAAGATACGACTGAGAAAGGGAGTGTCTGAATGGAAGGTGAGTCACACAGAAGAGCCAGAGAGGGAGTAGGTCTGGTTGGCTGGGTGGATGCCAGCTGGAGACACAGTCGGGCCTGCGCTCAGAGCCACCGTGTGTGTGAGGAGGAGGAGGAGAGCCTTCAGCAGAGACTGGGTCGCCCATCAGGTCATGGAGCAGATTGAAAAGAATGAAAGTGACTCAGGGGTCCCCAGCCTGTGAGAGCCAAGGGGAAGATGTCAGGTGCTCCCGGGAGCATCAGCTGAGTCAGAAAGAAACCACACAGTCACGAGCCACAGGCCTTGGCCTCCAAGGCCAGCCGAGCAGCTGGTGACCAGGCAGGAAGGGGACATAGAACTGGAGTCCAGCAAATGCCAGCCCAGGTACCTTAGAAACAAGCACGAAGCTAGGTGCCCTTCTGTGCTCTACCTTCCTGGGGACCTCTAAGCCACTGCCACCCCTGACCCCGTATACCTGGGCCACCTTGGGGACAAACATGTCATCCAAGAAAACTGAGCACTACCTGGAGGGTCTGTTCAACTGGTCAAACTGCACCACGCTTTAGTCAGGCTACATCATTCATTTTCTCTTGCTGAGAGTTCAAAATCAGATCAACTGTAGGTAAAGGAATTGCATGTTCTCTGCCTAGAAAGAGAAGGGAGAGGGAGAAAAAGTAGGGACAGTGAGTGTGGAAACCCTTTTGAGAAGTTCTGCATGAAAACGATCCAGAAGAAAGAGTAAAATGGATGGTGTAGGAGAGCCAGGTGAGCGGGGAGGGAGAATGATGCAGTCCATGTCCTTGAGGAGGTGAGCGGAGTGCTTAAGGGGCAGGGCTGACTCCAGCTACAAGTGCCACCAACTCATTGTCTGGGGGAAGAATAGGGGAGGTGTCAGGTGGTAGTGGGAGGGTGTGAAGTTCTCTTCAGATTGCTTCTATGTTTCAGAGAAACAGGGCGCCAGGGCGCCAGCTGAGAGTGAGGGTCGGGAGGAGGTGTTGGGGTTCGAGGAGGCGACTAGCCTGGAGGGTGAGACAGTGAACGGGGCAGGGTGAGTAGGGATCCAGGAAACCAAGCACCCCACTAAAGGCCGTGCGTTTCCAGTGAAGCGACTCAACAGCAATTTGAGAGCATGCAAGGCAGAGAACCCAACTTAACCAGGGTGGCGGCTGTGCTCTGGTCGAGCAGACACTGGAGAATGTGACACAACACGGTGTGCCCACGGACAGATGAGCCGGACGCTGTGGGCAGGATGGAAGGCAGGTGAAGCAAGAACATGAGGACAAGGGGCAGGCGAGGGATGAGGCAAAGGTAGGAAGAGCGATGCATGGAGGGTGGGGGTTGTCGAAGGGTCCCCAGGGAGGACACCCAGGGAGGGGGAGCTAGAAAGAGAGGGTGCAGGTCGGGAAGAGGGAAGACTGAAATGGAGTTGGAGGGCTCCCAGGCCCTGGCAATGGTGAGGAGTCAGGAGTGGCTGGGTTGGGGAGGACGTGGCCATGGGTAGAAAGGAGGCCGAGGCACTGCGGGACTGAGAGTGGGTGGGAGCGCTGCGGGGTGCAGGGCTGGAGGCAGACGGGCAGGCTCTAGAGACTGGGGGTGAGTCGTGAGGGAGCAGCCGGAGAGGGCAGGCTTGGTCGCAGTCCAAGCCCGCCCCAGTCCACACTGGCAGTCACATTCGCAGCCGTTTTAGGACGGCTGGAAACAGCAGTGATGAGGGAGGCGACAGGCTCCCCTCCTGCAAGCCCACAGCTCCTGCACCTGAGGGGAACTGCAGGGTGACCATGTTCTTAGGGTGTCCCGCTAGCGGGTCCAGAAAGGAGGGGGGCACTCGGGAGAAGAGGTTGAGCATTGAAGACACAACAGGATGGGTGAGGAAACTGCCAGACCTGTGTTCACCCAGGCACAGAGAGGTGGGACTTGGTAGAAAAGCTCAAGAGCACTGTGGGAAGCTCTGGGTGAGGACAGACTGAGGGGACAGTGCCTGAGGGCGTGGAGTGGGCAGCGTGGTGAGACCCAGCCCTGCAGGCTCTGGGACAGGGCCAACAGTGCACCCGGGTCCCCCTAACTGCCTGTTCCATCTCGGAGACCCGCTTGGTTCACCAGGAGCAGGAGCTCCGGAGGACATGAAGACGAACGGGAAGGCACAGGGCCACACCATCCTAAGCGCTCAGTGTCACCTATTGTCATTAAGACCACAATGAACTGACTCACACATCAGATTTTGTCCTTTTCCCCAATTTTCATTCTTTCTGGTGTTGACAAGTAGTCTGGATTTTTAAGTTCATAAACCATTTACATAAGAACAACATGTCACATGCGAAAGTACTCTACTGTCCACGAAATGCTCGTCTCGTTCCTTACAATGAGCAAACATGTTCACGTGTCTAGGTTGCAGGGATCCCTGAAACGATGTGGTCAATTTTGTGGTCAACACCATCCACCGCCGCTGGCCAAGGTACGTAAGGGGAGAGCCGGGACGGGCGAGCACGGACCGGGGCAAGATCACACGGCCACACGCTCAGGTGAGGGGCCAGGGCTAGAAGCGGAGGGGCGCTAGGTTCTGGTCTATGCTCTCCTAGTATTTAGCATTGCAGCTTCCTGGCGACCACAGCGAGCCTTCCCCAGCCCTCAGGACGCAGCCAGCTGCAGAGACCCGGCAGAAGGTCCCCAGTGTACCCGACAGACACACGCGCCCGCCTCGCGCTGGGTCCAGAACCCAGCCTCCGTGGAGTTCGGAAACCGCTCGCAGGGTCGGGCATTCCAGGTGGAGGCGGGGGAGGCGCCGGGAGCACCAGGGGCCTGAGAGCGGGAACCCGAGCCGGGAACGCGCGGGGCGGGCCTCGGCCGGGGGCGGAGACTGAGCGCAGCCCGCTCGGGAGCGCCTCGGAGCGGCCCCGCAGAGCTGGTTCCAGCGCCCGGCGCCACCGGGCTCCGCCGTCTGGCCGCGAGAAAGGAAGCGCCCTCCAGCGGGGCCACGCGCTCGGCTCCCGGGCCGGCCCGGGGCGCGGCGGCCGCGCGGGGCGCCCATGGGCAGCTCCTGGAACGGCAGCGACGCCCCCGAGGGCGCGCGGGAGTCGCCGTGGGCCGCGCTGCCGCCGTGCGACGAGCGCCGCTGCTCGCCCTTTCCCCTGGGGGCGCTGGTGCCGGTGACCGCCGTGTGCCTGGGCCTGTTCGCCGTCGGGGTGAGCGGCAACGTGGTGACCGTGCTGCTGATCGGACGCTACCGGGACATGCGGACCACCACCAACTTGTACCTGGGCAGCATGGCCGTGTCCGACCTGCTCATCCTGCTCGGGCTCCCCTTCGACCTGTACCGCCTCTGGCGCTCGCGGCCCTGGGTGTTCGGGCCGCTGCTCTGCCGCCTGTCGCTCTACGTGGGCGAGGGCTGCACCTACGCCACGCTGCTGCACATGACGGCGCTCAGCGTCGAGCGCTACCTGGCCATCTGTCGCCCGCTGCGCGCCCGCGTCCTCGTCACCCGGCGCCGCGTCCGCGCGCTCATCGCGGCGCTCTGGGTCGTGGCGCTGCTCTCCGCCGGGCCCTTCTTCTTTCTTGTGGGCGTCGAGCAGGACCCCGGCGTCTACTTGCTCTCGGACCTTAATGGCACCGCGCGGGTCACGCCCTCGGCCCCCGCCTCGCCGCCGCCCCTCTGGCCTTCGGGGCCGCCCTCGCTGTCGCCCTCCCTGTCCCCCTCGCTGTCCCCGCCGTCGGGGCCCGAGGCTGCGGCGGCCGCGGCGCTGTTCAGCCGCGAGTGCCGGCCGAGCAGCGCGCAGCTGGGTGCGCTGCGCGTCATGCTGTGGGTCACCACCGCCTACTTCTTCCTGCCCTTCCTGTGCCTCAGCGTCCTCTACGGGCTCATCGGGCGCGAGCTGTGGAGGAGCCGCGGGCCGCTGCGAGGCCCGGCCGTGTCGGGGCGGGAGCTGGGCCACCGGCAGACCGTCCGCGTCCTGCGTAAGTGGCGCCCCCTCTGCTCCAAACTCGCCAGCCCGCGGTCGGCGCTGCCGGGGTCGCCGCGCAAACTCCGGGTCCCCTTCCCCGGCTCGCCCCGCTTCTAGCTACGTTAGCGTTTGCATTTCTACCCCAGCCTCCATCCACACGTACTTCCAGAGAAAACCATCTCCTGGGGACCTCAGGAGGTCCCTACGGGTAGGATCCCCGGATTCAGTGAACAGCAATGCTTTTCCAAAGCCGCTGAGATGCAGGATGGGTCGTTGGAAGCTCTTGATCCAACCACCTGTCTCTGTTAGATGCTACAGATGTGATTGCTCGCAGTCCCCTTGAGAAGATGGGGTAGATTACATTAAGCTGAAAATTTTAATTTAATATTAAGTTATCCTGAAGGCTAAAGTGAGCCTTGCCCACATCAGAAAGTAAAAGATTGTGCAGACCTGTTGCAGAACTCTTTTCAACGGAGAGCAGAGAACGTGTCTCAAGGGGCTTTGTGGAAGGAAGCCTGCCAAAACGCCTCCTTAGGAGAATTCGCTCCTCTGGTTTGTGTCCAGTCTTAACGTATATATGAACTTAGCATGCAGTTTTAAAGCAAATAGCGGTGCAGTCTGCAGCCTGCTAGTTTTTCTGGGATTGAGATACAGCTAGGTATAGTCTTATCTGATTTATTTTGCTGTTATTTATTACTGTAGATGGTTTCATTTGATCCTCGATGCTTTTTTTCTTTTTTTTTTTAATCTGGTGCCTGTGTTTTGTTTTGCAGTGGTCGTGGTTCTGGCGTTTATAGTGTGCTGGTTGCCTTTCCACGTTGGCAGGATTATTTACATCAACACGGAAGATTCCCGGATGATGCACTTCTCGCAGTACTTTAACATCGTTGCCCTGCAACTGTTCTATCTGAGCGCATCCATCAATCCCATCCTCTACAACCTCATTTCTAAGAAGTATAGGGCGGCGGCCTGGAAACTGCTGCTGTCGAGACAGTCCAGGCAGAGAGGTTTGTGCAGAAGCAGGGACACTGCGGGGGACGCTGCAGGGAATGCTGTGGGGGACACAGGGGGCGACACAGCGGGCTACACCGAGACCAGCGCTAACGTAAAGACGACGGCGTAACCAGCACCTTCTCCCACAGTTCTGGGACTTCAGGGAAAACAGGTGTGTAGGGAAGTAAAGATTGAAAGGGAGGAATGGATGCTGTTAAGAAGAATGGAAAGAGGGGTTGCATTTGTGCGAGTTGGTTAAGAAATTGTCAGCATGACTTTTTTTTTTTAAACCAAAGTATGGAATGTCACTGTACCACCCTTTCCAGTTTCCCTTTCATGTACCTCCTAAGGGACATTCATTTTAGCATCATGAGATCCCAGGTCACAAAATGTGCTCTGGGGAGCTTTTGGAAGTCTTTGTCGTCCTACTCTTTGGAAATACGATTGTTCGTTTTACAGCTGACACAGAGAGATGCTACCCGAAAACTGTGGTCTCTGAAATGAGGGGTGTTTGGGGTGATATACCTACAGTGATGCATATGCAAGGAGCCGGGATAGTCAGAGTGTTCATCCAAGAAATTATTTAATGCCTATGACTGCAAAAACTTGTAGAAGTAAGCAAAAGGAAATCCAGGTAGGCACCAATGTTCAAGGGTCCCCGCCCCTCTCCAGGCTCAGAGGAAATGACAAAGTTTAGGGGCAATACCCTCTTTCAGAAGTACTGTGCGTGCACAACTGTCACGACCGCTTCTCCCTGAGAATGCCCAGGGGGCTGTCACAGGGCCCTGGGCCACCAGGTAGCAAACCTTGGGCATTGGAGCGGAAGGTCAGAGGGCTGCAGCACTACTGGGCTTTGCCAGGTGACTACTAATGACATTTGTAAAGAGCTTTACTATGCTTTATCTTGCCTCAGCTCTGTGGGATGAGTTTTGCCATCATCATTCCTGTTTTACTCGTGATGGAACTGAGTCTCACATTTCCCAAACAGGAACTGGTGGGCCTGAATCTGACTCCCGTGATGGGATCTTCACTCACTGCCATGCCGAGATGTTGCTCTTGCTGAGAAACACAAGAGTCAATGGATTTAGTCAGGGTGAGAGAGAACATTGATCAACTACTCTGAAACTTTGTGTTGTCTTTTACAGTTTAAAACATAAACTTGTTTTCAGAAAGCAGCTCCAACCGGCCTTCTGTGTGACTGGCGCCCCCTGGAGATGTGCAGGGTACAACTTGCTCAGTCGGACAGGGGACCCTTACTGGGGTTCTCAGATTGATAAAGTTCAAACCTAAATTCCAGTAGATTGTTGATATTTATGAGGAATTTGTCATGAAATCTTCAAGTGCACAAATACCAGAAAAGCGACAAATGCAACTTCATCAGAGTTGCAATGACAAATAGAAGTAAGGTCACAAGGAGACTTAGAAGCTGGAGTCAGCCCAGTTTATTCAGTGACTCTCATTGCCTGGCAGCTCCCAGTTTGGGCGGCCTCGGTGAATATCTAAATTACTTCATGCCACGGACCACTGTTTCTTTTGGATAGTTAAATCTACAAGTGACAAGTACATAAACAACAAGGATCTGCTCAACATGCTGACAATATGGCTTTTTCATTTTATTAGCCAAATCCCTGGCTAACTCCCTGGCCCCGTCCTCAACCTGTGCGAGAGTGAAGTCTCTCATCTGCCTTTTCTCCCAGCGAGTGGAAGAAGCAGGTCACAATCACTTGGGGAAGCAGTCCCTACACTGTGTTCTACATATTGTTCTACATATTGGGGATTATTTGAAAAAAGAAATGGTTCTGTGGTCAAATATGGTAGGAAAACAAAACAATGTGTAACCCCTTCCCCGGCCCCTGAGTCACAACACAACCTGTCAGAGGCTCTGAGAAGGTGTTGTTCTACCCAGCATTTCCTTATTTTATCACAGAAGCAGCTCCCTATCCTCCCTCCCCAAGAACGCTTACTAAAACCTAATGGAGTGAGGAACACTTTGGGGACAGTGACGTAGGGATTCTGACAGCGGAGCTGCCAGCCTCGTGCCTCTGCTCATCTCTGCTTGGTAGCTCGAGATCTAGCTGCTGCCACAGCCTTACCGCTCACAGGAGTCCCTCTCTGGCCACCTCTGCAGGGCAGGTCATAGTAAGGAACCTTACTAAGAAGTGTTTAATATTTAGATATGGAAGCAAAGATCTCTCCTTTGAGCTTTTTTGTTCAGATTCTAGAAAACGGATTTACATCACACCTTCCTGGGACCTCCACGTGTTTCCAGGTGTGGGAGTGGGGAGTCACCCTGCCCTTTGCCACAGGGTCTCTGAGACCGAGAGTCTGAGGACCACCCCTTCCTGCGGGATCCCCGTGCCATCTCAGCTCATTCGTGGACTGTGAAATCAGCATAGTGTGTCACAGTTTTCTTTAATGGGACACAGAGTGGACAAGAATAGAATAGAAACCATCAGTGCATCCCATGTAGTAAGGTAACTACTGTGCTGTGAAACTTTTGTTTCCATTATGTTTTTGGTTGGTGTCTTTCCTGGTTCACAAAATAAAATGTATTTTTACCCTGGGTCATGGTCAAAAATATTTTGAAAAGTTGTTCTAAGATCTAAAATGGTTCTCCACCCTTGCCCTCTAAAAACAGGCCAAGCAGAGAGTGGCCTGTTTTTGAACTGGCAGCTGGCTATGAAATGGCAGGTCCTGAGAAGACCTGGGTGGCTGAGTTCGGGTCACTGGAGAGGGACAGGCAGACTATGGTTTTTGGTCCTCGGTCCCCCCTCTACTCCCTAGGGGAGTATCATGGAGGCCATAGCCTGGCCATGCTCTAACCTCCACCCCGACCTAGACGCATGCTGGCATTCCAGCAACTTCTCTGAGCCTCCCTCTCTTCTGCAGGCCACACTGCTTTTGTTAAGTGACCTGCCAACATTGGGGGAGAATTTGTATTTCATCCATTCACATGACAAATATTTACCTAGCAACTAAGGGCCAGGGGTGTATAACAAAATACACTAGAAAAATTAGTCCATGTCATAGTGTCAAAATCAATCAACTTTTCAATGGCATTTTTTGTTTGAAATGTGTAATTAATTGTGTCATCTACACTCACACAGATTCAGCTCACAGATTAATAAAAGCACTTAGATCAGATGGAAGTGCAGAATCTCAGGATCGTGCCATCTGTACGGACGTTCCTCTTCTTTTTCATATGAGGCATTTCCACTTCTGAAGGCAATGTTCAAAGAGCTATTGCACAACACCTGCTAGGATCCAAGAGTTCACGGTGCCAGATTCTTAAGGAGACACACGCGCACTGTGTTGATGGTGTTTAAAAGTTTGAACACGCCCTCTCCTGACTCTTTCTTCTCATGTCATAATAACATTTGCCAGTATATGAAAGCATTTTGTATTTAAGGTCTAGTGTTTTAAAAGTGGCTTTACGTAAACATAGATGTGATGCCATTTTTTATTGTGAGCCCACTTTCTGAAGATCCCAAGCTCCAAATGTTACAGAGCCCCTGCTCAGCTCTGAGCAGTCTTCGAAATCAGCATTTCTTCTTCTCAGAGCAAAGGAACGTCCACCCTCGCTGGGCAAGCTCGCCCCCCATGGGAATGCGTTGTGGCCGATCGCTCAACACGTCCCTTGTTCTGTGTAGGCTATGGCAGGTGAGAGAGGCAACTCTGCTCACCGCCTTCTTAGGAAAACAACACGCGCTTTTTAAAGAACAGTGGGCACCTGTATAATAAGGTTTCAAAGACATCCCCGCCAGACCGGAAGAACTGAGTGTGAGTGGGTAGTTGGGGGCTGTGCTGTGTGTGACTCTCTTCCATGGCACTTAACATGGCACACCACAGGTGGCTGGTCCCACTGGATGTAACCTGCTCCCTGAGGACAGAGAGAGTGTTTTCTTCTGCTTTGCGTGTCTCTTGCCCAGGTAAACGAATGTTGAACTCAACTGGCTTTGAAGGAGGGGATGGGGGGTCTTCACCTCAATGGATGGAAAGAAATAGAAGCTGAGTAAGCAGATGGGGTCACCTTTGCTCTGAGCCCCCAGACAGCACAAATGGAAGCATAAGGCAGGAATGAAACAGCACCCACAGGGAGCAGGGGCTGAATGCAGATGAAGGGCGGAAGAGGAGGGGAAGAGGGAGGGGGAGGGGGAGGGAGGGGAGAGGGAGAGGGAGAGGAGAGGGAGAGGGAGAGGGAGAGGGAGGGAGGGAGAGGGAGAGGGAGAGGGAGGAGGAGGAACTGATATAACCAGAGCTGCAGCTTGCAAAATAGACATAGTTTCGTGGGTGGAGGCTGGGACAGGGAGACCTGTTGGGACCGGTCATTTACCATAACCCAGGTCTAGGTGGGTTGGGTGGTGATGCGGAGCAGCGCCCATCCCCAGGTTCGGCACCTCCCCTGGCCCCACCCTTTCCCGGTCCCTGGTTCCAGTGCCCACTGCCTGGGCACTTCCCACCTCACCCTCCTGCCTCCGCACCACCCCGGCAAGCCCAGAGTGGGAAGGGCTATGGTTTTCTGTCTCCTTTCTCTCAAATTTGTAGCAAGTGTGCAAATCTTGAAAATGTTCTCTAAGCATTTCTATTAGTTGTGATGATAGGAGGATAAAACAAGATTTGTTTAAAAAATCAGATACATGCAGGTTTCAAAGTTGTAACAAATCTTAAAAATTTCAATGTAATAGTTATACCTGTTCATAACTGGAACTAAATAGAGCTAAACCTGCTCTTTCTTTGTTCCTGTCTCACTCCCACAGTAGTTCGTGACTTTGTCCTGATAGTGAAGACCAGGGCCCTGCCCTCGGGCTTCTCATTTCCCCCTGTCATTGCCTAGGTCAGTGGCTCTCAGACTCCAGCCTGCAGGAGAATCACCTGGAGGACATGTTAAAACACAGAGTTTTGCATTTAGTAGCTCTGGGGTGGGGCCCAAGAATCTGTATTTCCATCGAGGTCCCAGGTGATGCTCTGATGGTCTGACAACCTGTACTCTAGAGCTGCAGTCCCCAGCCCCTGGGCCGCAGACCAGTACCCCATCCATGGCCTATTAGGAACAAAGCCACACAGCGGGAGGTGGGCCACGGTGAGCAAGCAAAGCTTCACCTGTATTTACAGCCTGTCCCCATCCTCGAATCACCAGCTGAGCTCCGCCTCCCGTCAGATCAGCAGCAGCATTAGATCCTCATAGCAGCCCAAACCCTACTGTAAGCTGCGAATGCGAGGGCTCTGGGCGTTCCTTATGAGAATCTAATGCCTGATCAGGTGGCACTGAGGCAGCGACACTAGCGCTGGGGAGTGACTGCAAATACAGATTATCATTAGCAGAGAGGTTTGCATAATTATTTCATTATATATTACAATTAATAATAGAAGTAAAGTGCACAATAAATGCAATGCCATTTGAATCATCCCCAAACCATCCCCCCACCCCTGTCCATGGAAAAATTAACTGGTCCCTGGTTTCAGAAAGGTTGGGGAACACTGCTCTAGAGCTTCCATACAGAAAATGCGGCCCACAGACCAGCAGCATTAACACCACCTTGGATCTTGTTAAAATGCAGATTTTTCAGGGCCTATCACAGACCTCCTGAATCAGAATTTGCATTTTAATAATATCCCCAGGTGATTTTCATGTACATTAAAGTTTGGGAATCATTATTCTAGAGATTAATCAACCATATCAACGGAGACTTCACCAATGGCATCAGAATCTTAGGGGGTTGGACCCAAACATAGTTTTAAAGCTCCCCAGGTGATTCCAGTGTGCAGACAAGATTATGAAACAGCTGTGCTTGGTGCCACATGCCTGTGATCTCAGCACTTTGGGAGGCCGAGGAGAGAAGATCACTTGAGGCCAGGAGTATGAGACAAGCCTGGGCAGCGAAGGGAGACCCCATCTCTACAAAAAATAGAAAAATTAGCCAGGTATTGTGGCATGTGCCTGTAGTCCCAGCTATTGGGAGGCTGAGGCAGGAGGATCGCTTGAGCTGGGGAGTTTGAGTTTGCTGTGAGCTATGATGGTGCAATTGCACTCCAGCCTGGTAAACAGAGTGAGACCCTGTTTCTCCCCTGCCCCTCCCCCCCCAAAAAAGATTATGAGCCATCACTGTAAGATCTCTCTTACAGAAATATCTTCTACTTTCACTTTCCCTTCAGTTTGGATAGTGGACTCATTTGAAAGTAATTTATATTCTAGCAGCAACTCAGGACCACAGTCTAGTAGCAACTCCCTGGCCTCTCTGCTCTTCAGTCCCCTGAACCTGCACCTGCCAGCCCAGCCCACCCACCCCCAATGCTGAGGTGCTTCCTCCCCCAGGCCAGGCGCACACCCTCTTTGACACTGCCTGTTCATTTTGATAATCAGGCCTCCGCCATGTCTTCTGGTCTTCAAAACACGTTTTGTTTTGGTTTTGTTTGTTTTTTTTTTTTTTTCTTATTGTATTGAGGCATCTTTGCCTCAATACAAGCATCTTTGATTCCTTGCCCTGGTCCTTGGTTCTTCCAGGATAAAACTATTCTGCTCTTCACTCCCCTCGTGGGCCTTGAGTTCTGTCCCAGATTCCTTGACTTTGTGTCACCTGGGACCAACTGCTGGGGAACCCTGGAGTTAACTACCTGCCCCCTGGGACTTCCGCCTTGTGCTAGTTACTGAGATCGGCCAGAATTGCCTTTCGGGTGGGTGAACTGCTCTCCACGTCCCAGTGTAGGGGCTGCCTCCTGATTCTTGACTCTGATAAGCCGCAATAGCCTGCTTGAACCATGAAGTCATGCCAAGTCTCCCTTTCAACGCTATAGTGACTAAATTCCTAAAACTCAGAAGCTGATTGGATGCTGGAAAAAATAAAGTCATAGCTCCAATATCTTAAGCCTATGAAACTAGGAGAACATCTGGTGCTATTTGAAAAGAATGGGCTATCAGAGGAAGAGGTGATTTAGCTGGGGAAGATAATGAATTCCACTTTGATTATGGCACCCCCCTTATCCTTGGGGGACACATTCCAAGACTCCCAGTGGCTGCCTGAAACAGCAGATAGTACCAAACCCTATATATACTATGTTTTTCCTATGCATACATACATAATTTATAAACCAGGCACAGTAAGAGATCAGCAATAACTAATAATAAAATGGAATAGTTATAACAATATGCCAGCATCACTAGTCTTGCACTTTGGAGCCATTTTTAAATAAAATAACGGTTACTTGCACACAAGCACTGTGATACTGGGCTACTCACTACTCATGGGCAAGTAGCACCTATAGCATGGATACCTGGACGAAGGGACAATTCACATCCTGGATGGGACAGAGTGGGATGCCACAAGATTTCATCATGATACTCAAAACATGCTCAATTTAAAACTTGGGAATTTTTTATTCTAGAATTTTCCATTTGATAATTTTGGACCACAGTTAACTGCAGGCAACTGAAACCTTGGAAAGTGAAACGGTGGATAAGGGGAGGGACTGCTGTACTTTCTGTTTCCCAAGAAGCCATCCAGCTGGAAAAGTTCTATTGTCGCATGTT